ATTTTATTTCCTTATAATAAAAATAAGTACTTTTAATAAAAACTTAATTAGCTTATTCTTTATTAAGCCATTCTATTTAATATAATTATAAATAAAAAAGGCTACTATTATTAATCTAATTTCCACTAATATTACTAATACTTTCAATATTATATTTAAAGTTACTATTATTATAATTATTATTTCTACCTCTTTTTTACTATTTAAGTTATTATAATTAAAGTTCTATTTATTATTTTATTTATTATTATTAATATTATTATTAAAAGCTTTATTTTATATAACTAATTAATAAGTTACTAATCCTAGTTAATTACTTATATTTAAATATAATAGTCTTTAAAAATAATATTTATATTTTAAACTTAAAAAAGGAAATTATATAAATAAAGAATTAAAACAAGCTTTTATATATCTTATTCTTTTATTTACTCTTAGAAAGTTAGTATATACTAATTAACTAAATAAAGTTATTATAAAAGATATAGAACTAGACTTTATAGTTAAAATATTAAAATTAATTTTTACTTATAACTTTTATTAAAGTTACTATATTTATTCTCTAACTAAGTAAGGAAAGCCTTTACTATAAAGATATAGTTAAAATAACTAAACTTTAAGAAAAATCCTATAATATTAATAACAACACTACCTATTTAATTCTCAATTATTATTACCTTATTATACTTATTAAAATAATAATCTATATTTATATTTAACTTATTTTAAAGTTAATACTTTTATATCTTAAAGTTTAACTTATCTTTAATTTTATTATTATATTAAGTAAATAGAGAATCCACTTTAGTAAAGCATTTCTATTAAGTAGGGGTGGGGTTTTAAACACTAATAAAGTTAATAACCTATATATATAACTTAACATTCTTAAATTAAAATATATAAACTTCCTTTTATAGCTTTATCTCTATAAAATTAACTTAATTAACCTTATTAACCTTATTTAATTATTATTAAAGGTTAATAATTATATTTTAATTCTTTATACCTTAATAAATTAGAATAACTATATATTCTTTAATAATATTATAATCTTTAATTTTTACCTTTAAGTTTATAATAAGTTTATTATATTTATTAATAGCTAACTTAAATTAACTTTATAAATAATTAAGAATAAAAGTAGCTCATATATTACCCTTTAATACCTATAAATAAAAGTAAGCTTTTCTATAAGCTAAATAAAGTATCTCATTTACTCTTTAATATAAAATAGATTAGTATTAACTCTTTAAAATAATAACACTATTTTAATAACCTAAATAAAAAGTCTAGACTTATAGTTTTAAAGAGTAGAATTTATTAAATATTATCTTTTAATTCTATTATATAAATTTAAAAATATTATTTATAAAATTAATTTAAATATAAAAAATCTATTAACCCTTTTCTATTAAAGAGATTTAAAATATATAAATAAAATAAGTTACTTTAAGCTATTTAATCTTATTAATAAAATCCTTTTAAATATTAAATTATTAATAAAAACTAATTTAAAAGAAATTAACTATATATTACTTAACTATAAATATACTAATATAGTTAATTAACTCTTAAATTTTATTACTTTTAATATTAATATTAATATTATCTTTAAAAATTTAACTAGCTATAAAGGTTATATTAAATAAAAAGCTTACTTACTTTTAAATAAAAGTTAGTTTAAATAGATTAATAAAACCTATTTAAAATTAAATAGAATTTACTTAAATTAGTTAATATTAAATTAAATTTATTAATATAAATTAAGTATTAAAGTATTTTAAAAGATAATTTTATTATCTTTATTATTAATATCTTTAAATTTATTATTATCTTTATTATTATTCTTAATATTTATAAAAGTATTAATCTTTTATTTAAGATCTTTTAAACTTTCTTACTTATAAGGTTGATAATCTTATAGGCTATTATAGTTAGTTAATTAAAAAAATAAAGATTTAATTAAAATAAATATTTTTATAGCTTTCTTAAGTTATAAAATTAAATAATTTTAAATTAAAATAGTCCTTATAATTTATAATAAAAAAAGGCTTAAATTATTTATAAAGAATTATTAATTTAAAATTAAAGTTATTTAAGGAATAATATAAAGGAAGTAGTAAAGCTATAATCCCACATTATAAGAAGTATAAAGACTACTTAGGCTAATAAGATAAGTAGAGTATATAAACCTATTAATTAGTCCTATAGGTGTTTAGCTTATAGCCCTAACACTAAGTAATAAAGAGGAAAGAAATAGTAAATTACTAAACTAAAAGTAATAATAGAAGGATTAAAAGTATAGTTAATAAGTATAAATTTTAGTTTTATATAGTAAGTAAGTAGTATAAATTAAGGTTAGTATATTAAAGAGTATTTATACTTATATAAAGTAATTAACTTATATTTAAACTACTTCTTTATATAAATTACTTTATATTAATATATATAACTATTTTATATTTATATATAAAATATATTAATTTTATAAAAGAAATTTCTTTTAAAACTTTATATTTATTATAATTATTTATTAATAATAATATATAAAAATAATATATAAATAGTTTTTAAAAATATTATTAATAATATTAAGATTTAAAAATATATTAATATTAAAGTATTTTAAAAACTATTTTTTAATAATTAAAAATATTTAAAGTTATTTTAATATAATAAATTTATAAATAAAATTCTTAATTATTTAAAAATTAATTTACTTTAAGAATATTATTAATTTATTTTAAAATATAAATATTTATTATTTAATTAATTAATCTTTAACTATAATTATTACTTTTAATAAAAATAATTTGAAAACTTTTTAATAAGAAATTTAAATATTTTAAATTATTAAAGTTATTAAATATATTATATAAAGGTTAATAAATTTAAAATAAAAATAATTAAACTTTAATTTAATCTTTTAAACTTTTATTATATTTAATATTCAATTAAAAACTATTATAATATTAATAAAAATATTATTAAAGGTATTAAATTTAATAATATTATTTTAAAACTTAAAATAAAAAGTTTATAATATAAAAAGTAATAAAGGGAGGATATAAACCTTTATTATTATAATATAAAGTATTACTATTAGGTTATATATTTTAACTATCTAACTAAAAAGCTATAATAATAAATCTAAAGAACCTATTATTCTTAATAGTATATAAAAGTTAGTACTTTATTATTACTACCCTTTTTAAGGTCTTCTATAGAGCTTTAAACTTAAAGAAAAAGTAGTACTCTTATTATAAACTTAAAAATTCTAATAGTATAATAAGGTAGAAGATTTATAATTTAGTTAACTAAAAGATATTAAGTATATTTATTTAAATTTATTAATTAAGTAAAGGCTTATATAATTACTCTAAATAATATCTAACCCTTTTATTACTTAAGAAGCTTTATTAAAACCTAAGAGATTTTTAAACATAGGGGCTTGAATTTACACCCTTAGATTTATTATTATAATAGAGGGTATTACTATTAGGTTATATACTTTAACTATTTAACTAAAAGGTTATAATAATAAATTTAAAGGATCTATTATTCCTAATAATATATAAGAGTTAATACTTTATTATTATTATTATAAAGTATATTTTATTATAAATAAAGTTTATTTTTATTAATAATATTTGAAAACCTTTAAAAGTTAAATATTATCAATAAATAATAAATAAATAAATTATAATTTCTTTATAAAAATAAAAGTTAAATTAATTATTTTAATATTAATTATTATAAAAATAATATTATTAATATTTAAATATTTATAAAAATATAATCTTTATATAATATTTTTACTTTAATATATATTTAATTATAACTTAATAATTACTTTTTTAAAAAGTTAAAAAAATATATAATAAAAAAGATTAATAATTAAATATAATAGAGCTAATATCTACTTACTTAGTAATTATATCTACTTACCTAGTTTTTTTTAACTACTTACCTAATATAAGAATTTATATATAGAGCCTATATAAAACTATATATCTAACTAGGATTCTCTAAATTTTCAATACTTTTAGTATAAACCCCTTCTAGTACCCCTTTTAATACCCCTTTTAGCACGCCTTTTAGTACACCTTCTAGGCCGCCTAGCCTACACATATTTAGATACTAACTAAGCGTTTAAATACTAATTAAATACTAAAAGGCTAAAAGTTTAGAGTATTAAAGGGCTAAAAGGGGTATTAGAAAGTTAGAAAGAGTATAGTCTTTACCTTTACCTTTTTAAGTTCTAGCCTTCTAATATTTAATTAGTATCTAAATACTTAGTTAGTACCTAAATATATATAGACTAAATAGTAAAGGTAAAGGTAAAGGTAAAGATAAAGGGGTACTAGAAGGAGTGCTAAAAGGGGTACTAAAAGGTGTACTAAAAGGGGTTTATACTAAAAGTATTAAAAATTAAAGAAGGAAATCATACTATAGGGTCTTTTAGTACTAACTTAAAAGGTACTTATAAATATAAGGGAGTTACTTAAAAAAATTAATACTAAGTAAGTAGTTAGTAGGAACTAAATAAATAGATATAATTACTAGGTAAGTAAATATTAGCTTAATATAATAGTATAAAAAGTTAAATTACTTAAAGTAAAGTTAATAAAGTTAACATTTATTAATAAGTAAAAAGTTAAAATAAATTTTAATTTAAAGTTTATATAAATTAAAGATATATAAAGAATATAAATTATAATTAAAGTAATTTAAGTTAAATAAGTAAATAAAATAAATTTAAAAATATTAAAAATAATAAATACTTATATTATAATAAATAAATTAAGTATATTAAAGGAGGATAAAGAGGGTAGATAATTAATATAAAAGGGTGAATTTAAATAGTTCGAATAGAGGAGTGGTCTAAATGTGGGCCGGTTACCTTACTAGCCGTTTTTTCCTATATAAATATCTCTTCTCTTTTTTTTTTAAAAAAAAAAGAATCCCTGGGTCTTGAGTGTTTCCCACTATATGAAGGCGCCATACACGTTTTATATGTATAGGGATTAGAAACGAAACCACTATAACATGTCGCTGTCACACGAGCTGGCATGCTATGAAGCGAGAATAATCCCATTACCCATGATGAGTGAGAGCCGAGGACCCTCAGTGATATCCTGGTATTCTACACTGTTCCCTATCTAGGAGCACGACCATTGTAATCGTGCCCCGCCTCCGCTGTGTAGTTACCAAAACAGTCGTAGTCATAGTCAATCTCATCAATCCGCTTCTGCAGGACAGACACGACGTTGTCAAAGGAGCAAAGGCCGTCCGCATCGTAGTCACAACCAGGGTATGAGCCATTGACAGGGACCACGGCGTCGTTCCTATCTGATGTGTCAGCGAACGGCAAAGCCCGAATATCTCTCTTTCAAAAGCTTGGCAGAAGAAGGAAGGGTTTGGAGCGGGGAGAAAAGGAGAGGCTCCAAAAATGGGCGGACAATACTCACACAATAAAACGGATCTGCTTCGTAGGCTGATACGCAGGGCACTCGAGCACCTGCACGGTAAAGTGCGTCGCGAACGGCACGACCTTGCTCGCGACAAAGTTGTTCGACCGGCTGTTCCCCGCCGCCGAGAGCGGCTCGCCCTGGAACAGGGCGGTGAGGTTGAACGCGGTCAGCGTGTCGAGAACAACGACCTCGTGCGTCGCGTCGGCGTAGATGCTCTGGTTGAGCGGGAAGTAGGTCGGGTTGTCGTCGTACGTCTCGTTGAGGGCAGACTCGGGCGTTGGGTACCCCCCCGTGAAGCGCGCGACAAACTCCTGCAGGTACCCCTTGCCCTGGGCGGCGGAGACCGGGGACCCGGGCCCGTTGGAGTAGTAGAAGGACAGGTCGTAGTAGTACTCGTAGTTGAGGTAGTCCTGCTGGGTGAAGAGGCCGCAGAAGGCCGAGTAGCCCAGGGCGTTGGTCTCGTACGAGCAGAGCTGCAGCATGGAGATGGCGTCGGCCGGCGTGAACGTGACGCCCGTGACCAGGGAGTTGAGGCGGGCCAGCGTGGCGTTGAACGCGTTGTTTGCAAACCTGGCCGCGACGGCGCTGCCGATGGAGCCCCTGCTGGCCACGTCGGCGTTGGTGCACGTCTCGTAGGGCGCGCCGGAGTTGTTGACGCCGGCGGCCTCGACGATGATCTCGATGTTGACCTGGTCGAGGTACTCGGGCACGCCGAAGAACCCCGCGGCAAAGTTGTTGGCGGTCTTGACCATGCGGTCCTGCGACTGGGTCCGGAACACGGGGATGGTCCCTTGCTCGGTGAAGTTGTTGAGCAGTGATCCGTAGAGCTGGCGGTACTCGATGCCGAGCTGGAAGTTCTGGCTCCGGCCGAAGGGGGTGAGCAGCTCAGCGCCGAGCTTGTAAGTCCAATCAGCCAGGAAGCTCAGGTCTCCGGAGGCGCTGAAGCCGGTCTTGGTGGCGTTGTGAATCTTCTGTGCAAACTGTGCCGGGGCAGCGCCGCTCGTGGGATACCGAGCGCCGTGCCGGTAAAGCAGATGGACCTGGACTATGTCACATCCATCCGGGATGAGCGGGCTAGCATCCGGGAGGCCGTAGTCCGCAGAAGAGACTGAGTACCATGGAGACAGGTTGCCCCAGTACTTCTTGATGTCGAACTCTGACGACTCCGACTCGCCGTGCGGCACCGGGGCGACGAGGGGAAACTGGTTGGCCGGCCCGTCATTATACGGGTAAGAAGGCGCCGTCTCCGCAGCAGCGGGCTCAATGCCAGTGACGGTTGTGCCGGGATATCCGACGACGGGTTCCCCAGGGAAGAGTTCACTGTTGACGGATGCTGACAGAAAGAATTAGCAGCGAGTACCGAAATGCTGTGCCTTTCTAGACGGCCACATCAGACGAAGATCGGACAAGATTAAAGCACTCACTGGCCGAAGGAGGATAGCGATCCGACGTCGTAGAGCCGGCCTCGGGCGAGTTGGTCACCGGGCTCGCACGACTGACAGCAGCCAGGAGCCCTGCGAACGCGAACTGGACAGTCTTCATCCTGACAATGTGAACCTGAGCCGCGACGTCGTAGGCGCTGTCGGAAGTCGAACAAAATGGCGCCCTGGGGACCAAGAGTGCCAAAAAGCTTGTCCATGCTTGGCGATCTGTGGTGCTTAAATACTACCCAAACCCAGTCCCGCGCATTTCGTACCTGGCTTTGGGGAAATGAGGTGGAGTTGAGCCTGGGATGCGTAAGTTCAGTAGAGGGTGCATCCATTGACCTATCAACAGCGCCGGTTGATGCATGTGCCAAGCGGAAATAGGCCAGAACCCCGTGGGGCCCTCCAGTTGACGTAGTGACTCGTTGCTAGCGTCGAGTCGGGGTGCCTTCTACTGTGTTCTGTGTGTAGATACCGAGTGCACTGTTAGTTCCCCTCGTGTGGCTTACCAGGTTCTTGGATCCTACTCCATCACAAACTTCAGCTTGCCTTGACCGGAGCTGTAGGTAGACCCCACGTGCTGTTCCTCCGGCTCTCCGGGAAGAGGGTCGTATCTGTGAAGTTTAATGTGATTTGTCCAGGCTTTCAAATGCCTCTACATTCCGTCCCCAGCTGTCAAGCTAGAGAAATCTTTCGTCTAGCATTCCATAGTTGTCAAGCCATGCAAGATAAGGCCATTTCTTTAAGTTGTCTTGAGGCCACCAGAAGTAACGAGCTGCTGTGTGGAATTAGACTCGGACGTGACGATGATCATATACACCTCTCAGCCGGACAACATGAACTCATCAGTACATTGATCACCTGTCAGTATTCTTATCTAGCGGCATGGTCAGGCAGCAGTCTGAAGACGTGATGCCCTCCTCGCCCGATAGCAACTTGAGAACGGCGATACCCTACGTATCAACCCATTCACACCACAAGACAAGAGACGAAACCCAGATCACAAGGCACACCATAAAGTGTGGCATCTATGACATGGCATATTTAGCCGTCGCCATCGCTCCACGACAAAGTCAGCATATCACAGACCCCAAAGACCAAATTTGTCAAAACCACAACCCAGATGTAACTATTCACGCGTATATAGTGTAATCAATCACCTTACCCACCTACCTAGGTACCCAGCTATGCAACATCTATCCTCGCACCCACACACAAAACCCCCCTAAACATTCCCCCCAATCCACCTCCACATCCTCCCCACGTCCTCCCGCCCCAAAGGCCTCACATCCCGCATGGTCCCAGAGACCCTCTCCGTCCGCCGCGTATCAAACCGCGCCGTCGCAGCCGCCGAGCCCTCCCCGACACCACCTCCAAGACTCCCGCGCCTGCCTCCGTACGCCGCCTTCCACAGGTGCAGGAGCGCCCGCGCCGGGTGGTCCCGCGTCTCGAGCGCGCGCTCGAGCCGCTCCACCCACTCGGCCGCGGGGACGATGCTGACCGCGCCGGCCCCCTCCTCCTGGCCCCCTCCTCCGTCGCCGTCGCGGATCCAACCCAGCATCTCGCCCCACTCCGGCTCCTGGTGCGGGTTGAGCACGTGGTACACGGGCGTCTTGTGCAAGTGCTGCGACCGGGTCTGCGAGTAGCGTTGCCCGGGGGCGCGGGGCGGCTCCGGCGGCTCAGGCGGCGAGGTCGCGATCTCGAGCACGGAGCGCGCGGCGGTGTCGACGGGCAGCCAGCTGAGGGCCTCGCCGGGCAGGTCGGGCAGGCACCCCGACACGCGCGCGGACGAGAGCATGATGGGGTACGCCTCGGCCGCGTTCCACGCGCCGGTCCGGGTGTTCCCGCAGAGCTGCCCGACCCGGATGATGATGATCGGAGTCCTCTCCTCTGCGATCCCGGGCGAGGGGAGGCCCGAGGTGCTCGATGGTATCGGGGTCACAAAGCTGCCGCTCACCCTGGCCGAGGCGAGGATGTTCTCTGCCACCCACTTTGACCGCGAGTACCCCAGGGGCGAGGCGTCGTCTGGCTCGCAGCTCAGCATCTCGCTAATCGGGCGGTCGCCTTTGGCCCCGGAGATGACGGCTGCTGTAGAGGATATGAAGACGAATCGTGCCGCGGACCTGCGCGTTGAGTTGCGTAGCTCGAGGAGGTTGACCAGGCCACTGAGTTGGTCCTGGAAGGATCTGAGCTTGAGGCTGAAGTTCACTGACCAAGCCGAGTGGATGATCAGCGTCACCTCGCCGGCTATCCTTTCCCATTCAGAGCCCGAGAGCCCTAGCTTATCGTCTTGGAGACTGCATGGGAGTGAGATCAGTTTCGAGCCGTTGCCGATCTCGTTCGAGGGCAACAGCAGGTCGCGAGACCGAAGTGACTCCAATATTCTCGCTTGGGCTTGCTCTGGACTTCCGGCTCGCACGAGACAGTACACCCGCGAGACTTTGGGGTCCTGAAGTAAGATTTCCAGAATATGGGCTCCGAGCGCCCCGGTCGCCCCGGTCAAAACAACAACGCGGTCCCTTTGGTGGTCAAACGAGCCCGCGGGTGCATGGATCTCCCGCCGATAGTGCTCCACTAGGTCCAACATGAGCTGCTCATCTGGGTCCTCCTCATTAAGACCATCTGGTATCGCCGCCCCGGACACCCGACACCGCAGGATGTATTTTGATAAGCGTTCTATCGAACCTTGGTCATAAATGACGTTCAATGGTAACGATATATCAGAGTCGGGAAACAAAACCTTGGAGATGGACTTGCGAAGACGTGAACAGGCGAGGGAGTCGACACCCTGCGCGAAGAGGTCAGCTCCAGGGTCGATGTGTCTACCCACAATGTCGTCGAAGAGAAGGCCCAACTCTTCCATAACTTTGCTGTCGGGTATCCTTGTTCTCCTGCCATTGGCCTCGGGAACATGGTCGGCCGCCAGCTCAATTTCTTTTGCGAACATCTTCTCGGCCTGTCCTCTCAGGATAGTGCCTTTGCTGCTTTTTGGCAGCTGTGGTATCTCGCCGTGTTTCCACCTGACGACGACTATGCTTCTTTTGGCCAGGCGTGCATGGTTTTGTGTTTCCGCGTTCATCCTTTCGACAGTGGGCCACAACTCTTCGACGATCTGATCATCGTCGTCGGATTTAGTCCCCTTCTTAGGAAACAGAAGAACCCCAGGCATCTCTCGGCCAGTTCCAAAAATCATGGCATCGCGCAAAACCCTCTTTCCCACGTCTGATGCTAGTAGCTCGCCTTCCACCGGAGACGGGTCAAACTTCTTACCGTTTACAAGGGTTATTTGCGCATCCGCCCGGCTGTGATAGCGCCACGCATTCGCAATCGTTGGGTGCCGCTCGAACAAATCCGACGTGGCAAAGGAACCATCAGGACGATTTGTCTTGCCACGGTGTGGCCACTTTGGCTTGACGACAAACTCAAACAAAGGCAGTTCGCCCTCTTGTTCTGGTTGTGGCTCAAAGTCGTAGTAGTCCGGCTGCAGATCCAGGTCCGCGCGAAGGTAGGACCACCCGCGGTCGGCGCTGTAATCCCGGTGCGAGGAAAGCAGAAAGCCGCATTCTGCACTTCCGAAGCGCGAAACGAGTTTAACATTTTTTGAGGCGAGATAATCACCAAACGAGGCAGGCAGGGCAGCTCCGCCGACGCCGACCAGGTCCATTTCTTGCAGAAGCCGTAAGCCCGACTCATTCTCGGGGTCAGCCGGGTCGCCTGCGAGCATCTGGAGGATATATGGAACACTGGTGAAATATTTGACTGGGCACGCATTGGCGAGGTAACTGTTGGCTCGTTTGACAGCCCGTTGGACATTGGTGGATGTGAGGGGCTGAGTACCAGGGAACAGATGGATAGTAGCTCCGCTTGCCCATGCCCGGAAGCAGTCGGCGATGCCGCCGTGATATAAAGGCGTTGTGGAAAATGTGGCAGCGCTACCGCCGCCTGGAAGACGAGGGAGCACGCCAACTGCAGCGTGATGAGACTGTGGTATGGGCTTTGGAAGGCCGGAAGAGGTGCCTGAGGTGTGGAACAGGTAGGCTATGTCGTTGGGCTTGGCAGGTGAGACTACATTTGTAGGTATCTTCTCAGGCTTGAGGTTGTAGAGTATGTTGCTGATATTGATGGCAAGACTACCGTCTCTCAAGCGCTTGACCCTGTCGTAGTTTCTGGCGTCGGCAAAGATGACCGAGGCATTACATGTTGAACATAGGTGCTTTATAGCCGAGCGTTCTAGCTGGGGACTGCAAAACCTGGGCGATTAGTGGTGTTCGGCTGCGGATGGAGTACATGTCACGTACGCCAGGACCATGACGGAGATGCCCAGTCGCAGGAGGCCCAGCCACGTCAGGATGAACTCGGGAGTGCTCGAGCAGAGCAGGCCAACCGTGCCTGAGGCATTCCGATCCGAGACCTGAAGTCTCCGGCGCAGACGTGCTGCTGTGGCCAGGGAGTATGTCCTCAGCTCACGATAGGTGAAATCTAGAAAGGGGTTAGTCAGGGCCAGGGTGAGAAATGCTTCATCACACACCCGACTTGATCTCCCTCCCGTCCTCGGCAAAGCAGCCGCCTGGGAAGTTGACGGCAGGTCGCTGTCTCAGATCCTCGGCCTGCTCGTCGATAAGGTGGTTGACGGTGTGAAAGGGGTGTGGGTGATGAACGTTCCACGCGGCGGCCTCGCCCAGGGTGCATATGAAATAATTGAGGCCCGAATCGACCTGTGCCATATTGGCAGGTGCTGGGTCCGGCCTCCAAGCATGGACGTTGAACCGCACCCTCTTGATCATGGGCGAGGGCCCTTTTCCTCGGGGCTTGAGGGCGTCGATGTCGGCGGTGGTGTTGTCTCGGGTGCGGTAGCAGTCAAGCACGTCACAGCACTGGGCCATGGATGCGCTCACGGGCATCCACCCATGTCATGTGCTGCTGCCTTTTGCCTTGCTCACGATGGTCAACGGCGTCAACGTTGAAGTCGGACAGACGGGAAGGCGGCAGTCAGTCTTGAATGGGATTGATAGGGAGAGGCAACCACCCTGCCCTCGTGCCCTCCTGGCAACCCCCGGACCTCCCCCCAGCTCGAGGTGGGTGCATTGTGAGGGCTTGGGCCGATGGGCTTCTAGACCACGGGACTTTGGGACGGTGTCGGGCCTATCTTAGCCTGGCCTGCCTGGTGGCAGCTAAGGTGGCGAGTGGCAACTGCTGCTCCCCTTTCCCCCTGTCGACGGGCCGGTCCAGAACTAAAAGGCCAGTCACAGTCTGCCAGTCCATGAGGTCATGCTGTTTGCACTGGGTAAGGGCTGCCCAGCCAAAACCACACCAACCCACGCCAGTCAATGATTCGCATACCCGCAATTGGCAACTGCTGCTGCCCCTCCTTTCCCTCCTCCCCTTGTGAAATCGCAGCAGGCACGCCTGCTTGTGGGAGGAAGGAGGCAGCAGGTCAACATGTAGGCCATGCGCAAGAGTGAATCTCCCCCGTCTTGTTTTTGGTATGCTGCATCCACACTTTCGACTGCTTGCTGGCTCAATCACCCCCACACTCCCCAATCGCCTGCATCATCACACACACACACATTATCGTTGCCTCACATCTCATACCGCGCAGGTACACGCCCTACCCGCCCACACTAACTAATCCAAAGGCGGTCGGGACACCACCACCACCACGGCCCAACCAACCCAAATGGCCTCGACCACCCCAACCGTCGACGAGCCTGTTGAAGCAGGCTCAAACATGCCGCCCCAGTCGCCCAACTCCGTCCGCATCCCCAACACCAGAAGAATCACCGACATGCCCCAGCTCGGCCTGGGGACCTACCTCACCTTGCCCGAGTGGACCTTCTGGGCTTGCACCTCCGCCCTCAACGCCGGCTACCGCCACATCGACACGGCGCAGTACTACGGCAACGAGGCACAGGTGGGCGAGGCCATACGCAAGTCCTGGCTCAACAGGCAGGACATCTTCGTCACCACCAAGATCCTCGAGCCGGGGGACACACCTGAGGCCACCTACAACAAGTGCATCGAGAGCGTCAAAAAGATTGACCAGTGCGGCCGGTGCGGCCGGTGCGGCTGGGTCGACTGCTTCCTGATCCACTCGCCCAACGTCGACGACGCAAAGACGAAGGAGATGTGGCTCGCCCTCGAGAGGCTGTACAACGAGGGCAAGGCCAGGGCCATCGGGGTCAGTAATTTTGGCAAGGGGCAAATCGAGGGTCTCAAGGGCGTCGGCAACGTCTGGCCGCCGCACGTGAATCAGATCGAGGTGCGTCGGGCCCCTTTTGTGACGGACAGACACTTCTGCTGCAGTTGCTGCAGCCGTAGTTGCTGCAGCCGTAGTTGCTGTGCAGAGATGCATTCTTCCTCACCCCCTCCCCCTTTCCTTCGCCACAATGCCGAGACCACCAAGGAAAAACAAAATCAAAAAGGCTAACTCGTTCCTCCCAACCGCCCCAGCTACACCCATGGCACCAGCAGCGCGAGATCGTCCAGTACTGCCGCGACAACGGCATCGTCGTGCAGGCCTACTCCCCCCTCGCCAGGAACGAAAAGGCCGGCAACCGAACCCTCTGCGACATCGCGGCGCGCAACGGCGTCCTGCCCAGCCAGGTCCTGGTCCGGTGGTCCGTGCAGAAGGGCTGGGTGTCGCTGCCCAAGAGTCACCACCCCGGCCGCATCCGCGAGAACGGCGACGTCTTCGGCTTCGAGCTGAGCCCCGAGGACGAGGCGCTGCTGGACGGGCTGGACCAGGGCGCTGCGGGCTGCCTTGTGCATACTGTGGTTAATGAGTGAATGACTGACTTTTTTCGGGGTTGTGTGGTCTGGTCCAGGGACTACTTATTGGCGTGTTATTACCCAGCGGGCGTGAAGGTATGTCGTAAACAAGCATGGCTACCCTGTGTTGGTTTGTTTGTACGAGGTCTCGCCAAGCCAACAGTATCGGGATTCAGCATGGGAAATACCATTTACAAGTCAGAAGAGTAAGACTTGCATAGATAGCGAAGGGCAAAAACAGCACAGCGGTGGGCGTCGGTGATATCGGTCGCTCGGCGGAGAGCATGATTACATGTATCGTAATCATGGCCAGTGGGTTCAGGAAAGCACCGGGCTCACGCACCACAGCGCGTTTCTTGGTCTGTTTCAATATCAGGGGTTAGATGAAGGTGACCCGCCGGGTATTGGTAGGCTTTGTTAGAGGTCAGAAGGCGCCGGACTCATCGCCACATAAATAATCGTATCGCTGCTCATGAACATGGATGACAGACACCTAAGAGAATCCTGGGCGCTGTGAGTGACACTTGCACGCACGGCACACACGGTAGATATCATCGAAGGCCGGACAAGAAAGCAAGCAGCCGTAACCTAGTCAGGTTATTTCTACCCTGGTATCATTGCCATACAACCAACCCAACCCGTTTTCAAGAAACTCCCCTTTCCCACCTCCCACCTCCCAGCCAGCCAGCCGTTTACGCCCCCCCCCCCCTTTTCTCGATCCGACGAACGCACCATCACACGGCCCGACCCGATACGAGAGAACCCACCAAGAACGCCCCCCTCTGCTCTCATCTCCTGTCCTGTCCTGTCCCGACCCGACCCGACCCAACCCAGCCCACCAACCTAATCCTCCTCCACCGCCTCAGCAGGCCACAGCAGCCAGACAACAACAACAAACACCTTCATGGCACTAGCAGTCCACATGGCGCCGGCGATGCCGAACCGCGAGTGCGCAAACAGACCCCCCAGGACGGCGCCGGCGAGGCACATGGAGGGCGCGCCCAGGCGCCTGTTGCGCTCGGGGTTGGCGGCGCGGAACAGCTCCGCGTCGCTGAAGAGGTCGCAGTAGATGCTGGTGAGCACGACGCTGGTGAGGGCGTTGTACTTCAGCGCGCGGGAGGTGACGGCCTGCCCGCAGGCCTGGAAGGCCACGAGGGCGATGGGGACCAGCACGTCCCAGGTGATGGCGTCCTTGCTGTCCGGCCTGCCGCTGCCCCCGGCGCCGGGCCCAAAGGTCACGATGGAGGCGGCGGCGATGCACAGGGCCGCCTGCAGCGTGAAGGAGGCGATCAGGGTCGCGCGGCGCTTGGGGCCGAAGTGCCTGTGGAAGCGGCTGAAGAAGAAGGAGCCTATGCAGAAGAAGCCGAGCGAGGTGCCTGATTTTATCCAGCGGGTCCCTTCCGTCGGGGCTGCTAGGCCTAGACCTATGTAGACGGTGTTGCCTGGGTTTTGTGGGGGTTAGCGGTGATGCACTCTCTCTCGGGTCCGAGCAGGCGGGTGGGTGATTGAGGTTATGGGCTCGGGTTGGGGGACCAAGGCGGTGGTGGTGGGTGCTGTGGTGCTGTGCTTTGATGCATCGTGTTTGTGAACAGCTTACCTGTCTGCATGGAGACGAAGGAGCCCCAGTCAGAGATGGCCGAGCTGTCCAGCATGCCCGTGATGATGTAGCAGAAGATGAGCACGACGTCGGCCCAGTCGCGCCTGACCTCTGCGCCGGCGGCCTTGCGCAGCCGCGAGGTGAGCGACTTGGAGCTGCCGCTCTGCGCCGCGCCGACGCCGTTGAGCAGAGGTTGCTCCTCGTCGGTCGCATTGTGGCCGGCACGCTGGCGGGCGGGACCGTTGGTGGCGCCGGGCCCAGCAGTGCCGTACCCATTGACGGAGCTCATCTTGTCCGGCTGTTTTGGGGGGTTTGTTCCTGAGGAGGGTGTGAGGGGGATGATGTCGCAACCTGGCGATGACAGACTTGAGTTGAACAGCTCAGAGGCCCTTCTTCACATGCAGATGAGACGTGAGAATTCGGACAAGGCACGGCTCGCGGACGGGGGACGTCGTCGTTGGACCCCCGGACGGTCAGACAGTATTATTAGTATGAAGGAGCGCTGACTCGCCGGGGTGCTTGTGTGAAGTGAGAGTGAGCGCCGAGGGTCGAATTGGCGTCACTGCGGGGCCCTGCGCCAGCCTTTGCCCGGGGAGACAGACAGGCATGGCAGGGGTGTGTGAGCACAAGCACCAGCAGAGGACAAGCTTGCAAGTGGCAAGCTAGCAGAAAGTACTCGGACGAAGCAGCACCAAGCAGCAAGATAGGCCGTTGGGGCCGTTGGGCCGGGGACATGGGGGGATGGAGCTTTTTTTCCCCTTCAAAACCCTCGACGATGCTAATATAGCGCGGCCCAGAGTTATCAGATCGGATCTGGACTGCACACAAAAGATGCGCTGCGATTCGGCGGTTTGTCGCAGGACCCAAGGACTTGGCCCGGCGCTGCGTTTTGCTGCTGTAACCACAGCGACGGCTCGCAATGGCTGGACGACGACCGAGAGGTTGCTTCATCCATCGCTCTGCTCGCAAGTGTATCCCAGCTCCGGCTCGATTGGGCGGCGCGGCACCCGGCACTCGTCCTCGTCCGTGCTTGTTGGGGATTGGAGTCGCGGTGGGCAAGTGGCTGAGCAGCCCTGAAAGGGGCAGAAAGGATGTGTCATCGCCTGCCTTGCCTGCCTTGCTGCCCCCCCGACCAGCCCTCCCGGTCTGCCGGGTCTTGGGCGACAATCATTTCTTGGGCGGCCGTCACGGCTTGGCTGCTTGGCCATGCAGGCTGGTGCAGGCGGGTGCGCTCAGGTGGGTGGCGCTTGGTTGTCAGGTTGTGCTGCCCGCGGACCAGCACAAAGCTCAGTCATCTGATGTCCGTAGTCGAGATGGCCTATATCTCTCACACCGCGATTGCGATCTACCAACAAGGGCGCATCGTCCTTCTGCCTCCCCCGCACCTTGCACCTTGCACCCTGGCAGCTTGCACACACCGAGCATCCCCTTCTGTTCTGGCGCGACGGGCTGTTGTTGTCCTGTGGCTTCTGGAAATAGCAGCACACCCAGCCTGCCAGCTCGACAGGGCCTCTCGGACGTGCTAGGCCTGTTTCAGGGCGTCGGCAGTCGCAGCTCGACTGGGAGGCAGAGGGCTAGGGGCCGTTCCTCCAACCGGACGGGCTCGCTCGAGCTCGGTCTTGTCTCGGCAACTCGAAGGGTTGCACGCCACCATCTCCGTCGGCGTTGTTGTTGCTCGCGTGGTCATTCTGACAGGCCGACAGGGCAACCGACATGAACCATTGAATGTGGTCACACTCTGCCGGGGGCTAAAAAGGGCCAGGAGAAATGAGGTTGCAGTCCTGGTCGAGGAGGAAACGAAATGGCTGGCGGATGGCGCGAGCGAGCGTGGCAGGCGTGGTGGGGGTGGTTTTGGCCAACGTCCTTGTCCCGGGGAGAAACCGTGCGTGGGCACAGGCACAAGCGAAAGCTTAGCCATCTGCCTCCCGTCTTTGCCGTCCTGGTCCCACTCGGAGAGTTGGCAGGCCTGGCAGGCTGGCAGTGCAAGGCTGGGCATGGCATGATGAAGGCAAGGCAGGTGCGACTTGTACCTACTGTACATGTAATGGATTGAAACGGGAGGGGTAAACAAGTGCCAGGAGGGCTTGGAGCTTGGAGCTCTGGGGAGTTGGGGGCCCTCGGGTGGGTCGGTCCCCTGTCGACAACAGCTTTGGGTGGCCCTGGTTGGCAGGTTGGAGCTCCCCCTGCAAGGTACATGCAAGAGTTACATGCACAAGGTACATGCATCTGCTGCAAGCACCCAAGCTGGCACGGAAATGGTGACGCTATTAGTCGACATCCCAGACCACAAAGTCCATGCCCTGGTCCAAAGAGGAACATGCACCCGTCCCTTAAGGTCCAACCGTTTTTTTCGGGATTGACTATTGGAGTATTTGTTTTGGCATCCTCGCCTCTGCTTTTCCTCAAGTACACCACTCCCCTCACCTTCTCTACCCTACCCCATCACTACACCTTATCTTCTCCTCTTGCATCATACTCAGCACTTGGTTGTAACCCCACTTTGACTCGCAGGCGATCAAGTTCACTACATACATAAACACACATCATCACACAAGATGCTCCTCCCACAGCTTCTCGTGGTGGCCTTCGCCGCCCTGTCGAATGCCGTGCCACATCGGGACTCCCCCCAGCAGCGTCTCCAGGCAGGCCTCGAGCTGCCTGACAAGTTCCTGACCAGCAAGAAGACCTCCAAGCAGAACCCATATACCCCGGATTTCCGCGACCCATATGACGGCAAGGTCGACCCCGTCAAGGACGAGCTCGACCCCTTGCCGTGGCGCAATGGCCTGGGCGCCTCGGTCCTGGGGCCATGGAACCCGGAGCGCTCTCGCCAGAACCCAGACTTGGTCCGGCCACCAAGCACCGACCATGGCAACATGGCCAACATGCGCTGGAGTTTTGCCGACTCCCACGTGAGAATCGAGGTACGTCTGGTGGCCGACCCCCAGCTCTGAACAGCCAGCTAACATTGCTTGCCCCTGCCAACAGGAAGGGGGATGGACCCGCCAGACCACCGTCCGGGAGCTGCCCACCTCCAGTGAGCTGGCCTCCGTCAACATGCGCCTGGGCGAGGGCGTCATCCGTGAGCTGCACTGGCACAAGGAGGCCGAGTGGGCCTACGTCCTCGACGGATCCGTCCGTGTCACTGCGCTCGACTACGAGGGCGGCAACTTCATTGAGGATCTCGAGAAGGGTGACCTGTGGTACTTCCCCAGCGGTGTGCCCCACAGCTTGCAGGGCCTCAGCCCCAACGGCACAGAGTTCCTGCTTGTTTTCGACGACGGCCGCTTCTCTGAGGAGAGCACTTTCATCCTGACTGACTGGCTCGGTAAGTTTCTGGAGTGCTCACCAGCACCCCCTACTTGCCAGACCCCAACTTGCTAACCCACGAAACCTCAGCCCACACGCCCAAGTCGGTCATCGCAGAGAACTTCCACCTCGCCCCGGAGGTCTTCGCACACCTCCCCGAGGGCGAGAAGTACATCTTCCAGGGCTCCAACCCGGGCTCCATCGACGACGAGAGGCCCACCGGCAAGAACATCAAGAAGTCCAAGTACAACTTCGCCCACAAGATGCTGGCCCAGGAGCCCATCGTCACCTCGGGCGGCGAGGTGCGCATCACCGACTCCAAGAACTTCCCCATCTCCACCACCGTGGCCGCCGCCCACGCCATCATCCAGCCCGGCGCCCTGCGCGAGATGCACTGGCACCCCAACGCCGACGAGTGGAACTTCTTCATCCGCGGCCGAGCGCGCATCACCATCTTCGCCGCCGAGGGCACAGCCCGCACCTTTGACTACGTCCCCGGCGACGTCGGCATCGTCCCGCGCAACATGGGCCACTTTGTCGAGAACATCGGCGACGAGCCCGTCGAGATGCTCGAGGTCTTCCGCGCCGACGAGTTCCGCGACTTCTCCCTGTTCCAGTGGCTCGGCGAGACCCCGCAGCGCATGGTCGCCGACCACCTGTTCCAGGGCGACCCCGAGAACGCAGAGAAGTTCCTCGCCAAGATCAAGAGCGCCGCCAAGGACCCCGTCACCAAGTACTCGGACGACGAGACCTCGGCCGCCGACGGCGGCGAGGAGAAGGAGCTGTAGGGAGGGGGCGTGTCCTTGTTCAGACTGTTCGGACTTGTTCTCAGGAAAAGCAGGGCTATTTGTCGGGTATAACGTTTCATTTGTAGACATCAGGGATTCGCACGCGCAAAAACGGAGGGTGTAGTGTAGGACCACCTTCTCTGGGGCAATCTCCTACAGGATAGCCTCCTGTAAGATAACTGGTTTAGTGTTAATCTGGGAAATTTAACTCGTTCAGTTATCCTGTATCTTCTCCATCTCTTATTTGCTGCATCTACTTGCCTAGGTTGGTAGGCAGTGAGTCTTTTATGCGGGTGCCCTCTGTTTTTGTGGATGCGAATATCCGATCTCCTTATAACCTGTCACGGATTTTTGGGTGTGGTTTTAGGCATATATCTGGGTTATCGATACGGACGTAAAAGTTGTGTGTATACTCGAAGAATGCAGATCGAGAACTGTCTAATCTAACTACACGTGTCGAACAAGGCGTCCCGGAAATGTGAACCATAACGTGCTTTGGTGAGCCAGAGAGGGTCACTATTTAAGTATGAATGAGCACCCAGACCTTTACAACCACCTTGTATTCACCGCACCACTTTTTGCCTTCGAGGGTCTTGCCGTGGCGTTCTTCTCAATTTGAAAGTCAGTCCAACCCTGTGGGGTTGTTCTGAAGGCTGAGGGTGGCCGTGGGGTTGAAACGCCGTTTTAATAAATAAACGGGACCTCTCGGAGAGTCTGAAACTGGTTCCTGTTTAGGAGCTTCCTCCCCCCTACCAGGGTCCCTTTTGCGCTTTTGTCTTTCTGAGTGGTAATTTGGTGGGTTTGGACCGTTAGATCTTGATCTCTCAATCTGAATCCCCTCCCCTATTTAGTACGAGGTGTCTCTCTCCACTGCCGTTGGCGTTGTCTTTTATTTCCCCCCCCCCCCCAAGAAACGCAAGGTCTTGAGCTTTACCACTTGTATGAAGGCGCCACATGCGTTTCATATGTCTGGGGATTAGAAACGAAACCACTTTGAGCGGTCTATCATGAAAGCATTAACACCTAGGCAGATAAAGGCCGTCTCAACGTGATACGTGGTGTGGATTTCCTAGTCCATTAATCAAGATGCTTGAAGGTGAAAGTACTATCTGCCTTGGTCCCCATTGCTGCGCGCATCCAGACACAATTTGTTGTTTCGGTCACTGCCCACGAGTTCGCCCCCTCACTTCGCCTGAACTTTCTTGAGCCCCTTTACTAGGATAGCCCCCTTGGGTTGCCCGTTGATCAAGGCCAGCAGAGACATGACACATTCCGTCTTGCTTCTGATCTCCGTAAGCTCCTTCCGGCCAATCGCGCAGACACTGACATTCTGCGGCTTCCCGTCGCTCCGCATCTGTGGTGCTTCGGGGTTGCCTCCATGGAGGCCTGTGTATGTGGTGTTGATGACCTTCGGGGGCGATGTCATCTTGGCGATCTGCTGCAGCTTCTCGGGCGTGGAGACCAGGCTGTCGGGCGAGATGATCACGTAAAAGCGGGGCTCGGGCTGCCTCCAGCCAGAGTTGAATGCTTTCCGAGCCGCCTCCCAGATCTTGGGATCCTCGAGCGGGCTTCGGCTGTCCTGGTTGGCGGCACGTTGCTTCTCGAGGTTGGCCTTGGCCATGTTCTTGCGTAGGTCTTCAACGGACATGTTGAGACTGGGTTTCGTCCGAGAATGCGAAGGGTGGATTTGCTGCCGGGGGGCGGAGGGGGAATAAAGGCAGTCTGCTTGAAGACCTGAAAGCCCAGGCTCCTCTTGAGCAGCTTTCTTATGTAATCGACGATGGCAGAATGCTATGCAACAGCTAGAACACAACCGTGATGGGGTGGTTTGATGATGCTTGTGGAAAGGGATGGGATTCGGGCGCAAATGTTGTGGGTGATTGATGATGGATGGTACTGAATGACTAATCTTGCCTTGAAATGGATACGGGCCATCGGACAGCCAACACCACTCCAGGCATCAGGCTGCTTAAATACGTGCGTGGTCCAAGCTCGGCTACCTGAAGGCTGCAGCAACTGGCTCTATTTTTATCTATCATATCTCTGTGCCGCTTCCCAAGGGGCCAACGATGAGCAGCCGTTCAACGGCCGGGCCGCTCTTGGAGCCAACACATGGCCCGCATTGTTTCCATTTTCAGCACCACATGCGGAATAATGGGGTTGGGGTGGAGTTCAAGTCGACAATTGGCCAGTATCTGAGTCCCGAGTAGGACAAGAGGTATCCTGTTGCTGCATTCTGGGCCCACATTGATTGGCACGGCCTTGGAATGAAGTCCACCCAACACCGAAGTTGGGTCTGCCTAGAGCCAGCCATGAAACAGACTCACAAGGCGACCGAGTGGATAGTACAAGGACCAGCATATAATTAGATAATATCTGAGATACCTTGCCCAGGTGGGCACAGCCATGAGTTTGAGAAGAGGCATGCATACCTAAGTGCAAGTACCTAGTAGTAAGGGTTGTGAGCTCATACAGTGCATTGCGTCTCGCAATGCCAGCGAGGGAATGATGTACCGCATGTCGAAAACCAGGCACACACAGGAATTTGTTTCACTGCTCCAGTTTGCCTACAAGAACCATCATATGGACGAACTCATGAATTGACACACTGATAATTGTAAGCATTCACTCAAAAAAATGTAGCACGACCCACAAATGCGCCGCTTGCCTGCTTGAAGCTGTCCTTGACCTACCATGCAGACCCAATCCATCCCGTTACAAAAATAACCTTGACCTCGGTCAACTGTGGGGGTTTCATGCGTGCTGGCGGCATTGCGTAGCTGTGCGAAGCCATCCGTTGGTCAGGCTCGATCGTGAATCCTTCACTTTCCTACCAATATGTCAGTTGTTGGGGCGAGGCCTGGGCCATCAACATGTCCACCATGGTCGGCAGACAGGTCACTGTCAAAGGTTTGGTGGGCTGGTTTTGGGTGACGTTAGTGTGTGCAAGACGTGATTTATCCACTCTTACAGCACTGCTTAGAATGCCTTCACTATATGAAGAGGCTTCTCGCCGGATACTATTGCATCTTGAAGCAGACAGACCCCGAATCATAACACAAAGCATCACACAAAGCCATAAACTCTACTTGTACAGCATCATTTTCCACGCCACTCTGACGTTCAAGAACTTGGGCTTCAAATTTCCTGGAACTCACTATTTATCACCTGGCTGAACTCTATCTTTACTTTGTTTGTATTCCAAAGAGACTGCTCGGTTATATTGCAACAATACGTCAAATCTGAGCCATTAGGAACCACCAGCAATCATCAGTCACCAACATATCTTCTAACATACTAACAATCATGTCTTCCAAGGCAAAGCTAGCGTTTGGTGTGGAATTTGAGTTGCTTCTCAAGCCGAGCAGTACAACGCTTCTTGCTAGCCTCGAGAAAAGCTGTCCAGGTTGGGCTGAGAAACTGGAGGGCGCGAAAGCGGCCGAGAAGGCAGCGGAGGTCAAGGGTGACGCAGCAACTGTACGAAAGGCCAAGGAAGAAGTAGGGCGCCTACGGAACCTCTTCCGCGTGGAAATCGCGAACACTCTTTCCCTCATCTATGATGTATCCGCGAGCACCCGAGCCTCAAACTTTCAAGTGTGGTCAGTAATCGACGAACCCACCCTTGACGAGGTTCCGGGGTACTGTAAGTCACCTTCACTTCATCTACGAGGACATAGTTCCGCTGTTTGGCAACCTACTAACCATTTTGGTCAAACCAGGCCGGGTAGAGTTCGTGTCCAAAGTCTTTCGCTCGGATGAAGATTGGCAGTTCGAGCTCGTCCAAGTCTTCAGGTTCCTGAAAGACTGGTGCTATGTTCAGCGTACCCAAGGCTGCTCAATGCATGTCCACGTATCCCCTTCCGCCGAGCAAAGAGGTCAAGAGGACAAATGGACAACCCCGCAACTGAACAGCATAATCAAGGCTCTCTCTTACTTTGACAATCCAATCACTAGTATCATGCCCCCAGAGAGAAAGAACAACCCATTCGCGGCGTCCAACATGTTATCCGACGAAGTTGCGAAGGGGAACCCAAAACTCAAAGCCCTATATGAACAAGTTCCTCAACAGAAATGGCAGCCTCTATTCGAATACTATGACACTGAATTGAAGAGTGCCATACACAGGACAAGAGCACATCCTATCATGGGCTATTGTCGCTATGCTTCTTGGAATTTCGAACACATCACAAATGCATGTGGTACCATTGAGTTCCGAAGAAGCCCCGCGGTTGCGACTGCGGGGTCAGCAACGCATTGGGCGAGCTTTACTCTCGGTTTCATTTATGCTGCGGCCTGTCAGACGGAATCAAGCTATTGGCACGAAAAGTCTGGGACTAACACCCACCCTTCTGTCGGAGATCTTGATTCTTTCGTAAAGAAAGGTCTTCATGGGTTGGAGGCCATTAGCCGAGGAGGCTTGAGGAGCCTCAAGGCGGACACCAGTGAGCCGCGGCTTTGGTCAGCCGCCGAAATGGCCGATTTCTTGAAGAAGAAAGAGAAGCTGGGCAGCTGTGCTGATCCTGATTCTTTCGTCCAAAAGGTATGCTCCTAAGCTTAGATGGTCTGGACTTTGGACCGCAAGCAAGAAGGGAATATGCTAACACCTCGTGTAATGACGCAGTACAATAGAACTCCCGATGGAACCCCCACCACCTCTCCTAGATCTTCGGCCAACAACAGCCCGTCCAGCTCGCCGAGACCACCCAGAGGTTGAAGAAACAGTGCACGGTATGCCGTGGTACATGATGCAGTCATTGTCCATAGGTATTAAATATAAGTTCGTGGTTGGTAGCAGTGTCTGTTTGCACATTTCGGTGGGAATGAGGCTGTACGTAGATGTCATGAGTCCCGCTTTGGGATAATCTCCATTTGTTCTAGAAAGTAGTGTCATTTTTTACAACTACGTACTGTGTTGCAAGTCCTTTTTCTTTTTGCTTATGTCTTGTTTTTCTACAATGCCTATGTTCCATGTCCATCAATGCGATCGTTTTTAGATAGTTGTTTCTCTAGTGCGTCTGGACTTTTCCCACGCTTAAAAGGAGTTGTAGGAAGCCAATTCTGCAAAGCCATTGTTGGATGGAAGACTGCAGCTGGAAATCTATGTCGAACCGTATAATGTGGGCACATGATGCCTGGAACCAGTTGACAGGCATCCTAGAGGAGAGGGTTCGATTAAGAGCTGCCCCCTCAAAACCAGAGTTGAGGTTACATGGGAGTTGGACTTCAATGCCAAGTGACCGCTTCTACTTGTGGAATCTAGGGAAAAGGGCATTTGCACATAAGGAAAGTGTCCCCTTACTGTTAGTGGCCCTGAGCTGGGTTCGAACCGTGTGGTGTGGGCGTAATCGGCATACATCGTACCTAGGTAGGTGCCTAGGTAAGAATACATAACTTGAGACGGCTCATTTGAAGATCGATGGTGATTGTGAGGTCCAGAACACTTGAAATCCCCGCAGGATTTGTGGTTGATGAGCCTAGAGAAGATTGCCTGGTTCAGGGCGAGCGTGAGGACCAGACATCGCAACCTTGGAAGACCCAAAGCCAATTGACCTCCGAGTCGAGCTTGAAGTCGCCATTCACCCCGTGCCCCAACCTGATAAGCCCCGCCATCCCAATACCATACAACAAAAAAGGCAAGCTGGCGCAACGGCAAAGGCGAGCGACTTTATAAGTCCTGGTAAGACCAGCTAACGACAAGGCCCCATGTTCAGATACAGTGCTCACCGTAACGTCAATAAAAACACAGGCAGGTGAGAACAAACACTGCAAATAAATATCCCGCAACCCCTGCCCAAACATGGCAGGGAACACCGAAAGGAGGGAAGCGCTGTAGCACCTTGTAGGGGTGGCAGCGCGTGAGGAAGGGGTTGGCGACTCGTTCCTTTTTGGCTTTTTTGCTCGATTCTGGGATCGAACTCTTTCGACACGATCGATCGATTCTGCAACATGTCGCTCATGATCATACCTTCATCTACAGGTAGGGATATCGAGGGCCTTGGCCATCAGTGTCGTCATTGCTTGAAACATCTTGGAAGTGTGTCTCACAAGTTCATGTGACACCTGGGCAGCATACTCACATTCAATGAGTGCGGACTTTTTAGGCACCACAACTGCTCATAGACTTATGCATCTTATTGAAGGTTTCTCAAAAGTCCTTGAACTGTCTCCTGGAGTCTTCTTCCTGAGCGGTCGGTCAATCAGTGGAACGTGGCAAGCCACTGCCCGATGATCACAGATCAAAGCTACCTATGTTAACTGGTATTTTCCTGCTCAATGAACCTAAACTGTCAACGCGCTGATTTAGCGGCCGCTCTTCGAGCTTCCCTCTTCTTTAAATTGCGTTTTGCTGGTTGCTGATAATTCTGAGAGGAAGATGCACCAATTTGCTAGGAAACCGGCGCTTGCTCATTAATCGGCTGGACAGCACTCATTCAAAGACTCAATGTTACAAATCAAAATGCCGATAACAAGATAAACTTGTTTCGCTTCTATTCCGCATAGGTCCGAAGACATACATGGCGCCTTCATAGGGTCGTAAACGCGCAAGACCATAACAAGAAAAAAATACACAATTATTGGGCACGTGGCCTATCTAGTACTAGTAGATAAAACCTAGAAGTGATATACTGCGTCCCGCGTGGTTATGTAACCATCATCCGACAGATGTGTACTGCGACCAAGAAGGGGAATTTTTCAGTTGCTCAAGGGCCTACCGCAGTGAGGAGGTCGGCTGATCTAAGATCTAAGGCGCGGTAGGATCGAAATTGAAGCGTGTAGTACTCTGAGAATGAGTACTGGCGCTATCTTAGTTGTATCCAGGAGCCATCTGAATGGGGTAATCAAGGCCGAGGAGACAGACGTTTGACGCTCTTTACTTTAGTCAGGCCCATTCACGTTATCAATGTTACATGCCAAGAGTGAATTGAAGGATCTTATCGAGATCTTTTACAGAAGTACATGTGACCGTGTGTCCAACTTCAGAGCTGCCGACTTGCTCGCCTGGACCTATGAACCGTGTTGTAAGTTGGCGTGGTGGGATTGGGCCCACCCCCGGATTCGGTCTAAATTTCCCACTAAAATCTACTAAAATTACGATGTTTATCTCTATTAATTAAAATACTATAAATATATTATAAACATATTAAAGTATATTAATTTTATTATATTATTATATAAATAAGACGGTCTTTATAACTTATAGTAAAAAGAAGGTTTAAATTATTTATAAAGAATTATTAATTTAAAACTAAAGTTACTTAAGGAATAGTATAAAGGAAGTAGCGAAGCTATAATCTCGTGTTGTAAGAGGTAAAGAGGCTCTTTAAGCTAATAAAATAAGTGAAATATATAGACTTATTAGTTAATTCTATAAGTATTTAACTTATAGCTCTAATAATAAATATAGTAAAAAGTTTATTATAAGTTAAGTATTATTAAAAGAATTTTTAAAGTATAAAATGATTAAATATTAAAGATTTTATTTAAATATATAAAAGTTTTTAATATTTTAAAAAATTATTATAAATTTATAATAAAAATATAAATATTTAATTTAATATTTAACTTATATATATTAAAATTATATATATATTAAATAAAAGTTATAAACTTAGATTTTATTAATTAAATAAAATATAATAAATAATATAATTTTTAAATAAACTTTTTATAAATTAATATTTTATATTATAACTTTTTTAATAAATTAAGTAGAATATTTATATTTTTAAATTAAGTTTATATATATATAATTTATATATAGATAAATTCCTAGTATTCTATAATTTTAATTAGTGGAGATAAAAATAGTGATTTTAGTGAATTTTAGTGGGGAATTTAGGCTGAATGGGGGGCGGGTCGAATCCCATTACGGCAACTTATGTATGTGGATGTCAAACGTCAGCTACGCTACCAGAGCACCAGTTCACAATAAAGGGATGACCGTGTAGTAAACCATTGCGTTGCATTGAATTAAGTGCCGTGATTATAGGTTTACTGAGTCCAAGATAAAAGAAGACCGTTGAAATAACGGAATTCGTCCCAAAAATCCAAAAAGTCATTATCATCTGCAAAATGAGCTGCTCTTTCGAGTCCCTTCACTTCGCAAGATTGAAACCAAAATTCCGCTTTCTAACATTGTCTGTGCTGCCCATTCGCACCAAGCAGACGGTTCCAAGGTTTCGACCAGAAACAGATTAAGCGGCGTCGTCACTCGAGCCACAACGATGTGACGGCGCAGTTTTGAAGGATTTGTCAGAAACTTCAGAGGGTGTGGAGGACTGCTGTATGCTGGACGGGCCGGGCTGAAGGAGGGTTTGATAAGTAATTTCATTGATTGGTTGGCCTTGGCCATTGCAAAGCTGTCCAGCAGCGTTGCGGTAGTATCCCTTGGACGTTTCGTAAGCGTTGATATTTGCTCCTTGCTGCGAGTTGAATGTCGAGGCCTGGGAAGTGAAACCGGATGGATATCGCCTGGCTATTCTCATGTCTTCCGTACCGGTACCTAGGGTACCATAGCCTTGGTGGGGCGCAGCGGACCCGGAATGGGTCTCATCCTGGCCTTCCCCCCCAGTGCCATATTTCATAGGCTCTGCGGAGCGGTACTGCTGCTGCTTAGGAATGTTCCGTGGCTGGCTCGGGCCTTGGCCTCCGGAGTCGACGGACTGGAGGGACTCTTGGGAGGGAAGCGGTTGATACCCACTGGCAAGGCTCGGAGTTCTCTGTCCTTCTGAAGTGTCGGACTTTGGGTGGTGGTCACAATCACAACACTCGCCTTCCCCACAATTATGCCAACAAGCCTTGGGGCTGCAGTCACCTTGGCCGCAATTGATAGGTCCGGAGGAGGTTGAGGATGAGTCTGCCATGATTACCTAGGTATTTGGCTTACAACGAGGAGCTCTGCCGGGTACAGGGATCTACCTTCTGGCCAATGGCGAATTTAAAGGGAAGATGGCAAAGGATTGGGCTTCAAGCTGTGTCACTCCTGATGCATAAGCGAAGGTTGGGCTCTGTTTGTTGAAACTGGTGGTAATTAAGGTTCAAGGAAGCGAAAATGGCAATATTGTGTGCAATGCAGTGCATTATTTATACCCGGGCCACTATACGGTCAGAACACATAGAAATCCGGGATAAAACATTCCAGAATCATGACAAGAAGTGAACAATGCGTAGATAGCCTGAGTGTTGGCTTTCGCACTTGCCTAGGTATGTAACATTCCCAGGTGGTCACAACATGAATGGACTTCCCTGATACTGGCAAATTTGAGTGGCTGATCCTATCGGATGACTATAACATGAAGTGTTGGTTGATGAGGTTCACTGAAAGCGGGCTTTCTTCCTGCCCCATCACCGGCTTTGAGTTGGTGGATGTAAAGGCCAGCGACCGACTGGTCAAGCTCAATCACTCGCCCATGCTAACATGTGTGGACGGTTGAGTGGCAACAACTCATCAGGGAAATGTCATCTCACTATTTGATATGAATGCCCGTATAAATTGAGACTCTTTGTTGTTGTGGTTATGGTTGCTGCTGCTGTTTAGCTAAGCACTTTCACACGTTCATACAGGATACACAGACCCATCACAACAACGGCGCTGGTACGAAGCCAAGACCGGAAAACTACAGTGTTGGAAATTCCATCCAACAACAGCCCTTTCCACAAATTTTAGACAGGGCTATTCCTCAAAGGAAGGAGCAACATGTCAAGTCAACAGCAGAACAGCACTCAATCGCCTCAGGCCAACGGTGGTCAGGGACCACAGAAAAGCTTGCAACTAAGAAGAAAATAGGGCAAGGCTCTGGCCAGCGCCCGCCAAACTTCATGCCCCCCTGGGGTGGACAAAGCGGCGTTGGCACAAGAGGACACTCTCGTACTTATGTGACAACAATTCACCCCTTGTATAGGGTGTAGCAGGTGATGCTACTGTTGGCATGATTGTAGGCACAAAGAGCCCACGAGATGACCGAAGGTATGATGCTTTTTGTATTATGAGTAGTTGGATTCTTTCTTTCTGTTACCGGTTCCTTTTATGTTTTGGTTTAACATACACTTTGGATGTCATAAACCGCGAGCTAGGCCATTCTGAGACTTTAACGGGGTGTGGGTTAGTACAGCCGACCAAAATTGTCTGAACTGCTATGATACCCTGGGGTATGGTCGACGGTCCTATCTACCTAGGGTATCTACCCAAAAGCCGAAGGAATCCCCATCAGTAACAACAAGAAATCCAAATCCACCCACCCCTCCATCCGCGACCAAAAGTAACCATCAACCAGGCCCGTCCGTGCCCGTACCCCGCTGCCCGTCTATGCCCACCTGTAGACCCTCCTGCTGAAGGGAGGGGCCGCGCATGTGCACACACAACACAACACAACATCCATCCCGGCAGCCACCATGCGAGGGAATGAGGGCCGTAATAAGCAATTTTGTGAACATGTCAGACCCTCTCCCTCACCCTCTCCCTCACCCTCACCCTCACCCTCGGGTTCTGGCTGCAGACAGGCAGACAGACAGACAGGCAGGGCGCAACGCCCGGCACAACACACACACACAAACGAGGCGCGGCAAGGGAGATGAGATAGGGGAGGGCAGAGGAGAGCTGAGGTGCATGAAGTATGCAGGCAGGCAGGCGGCAGAGGACGACATCAGGAGAAGATCGGACAGGATCATCTGGTAGCCACAAATCACTCAGGCAAGCATTTGATCTGAGACAATCTACTGCCGAAAAGTGGACATTGAGATCGACTATTGCATGTACAGGAAATCCAAATGGAGGTCTCCGTTCATGTACCACTGCAAAATGTGGGCCTTATCTTACAAAGTATGCTTACTGCTTCCTACGTGTCAGCCTCGTATAGTTAGTTTTACATGCGCCTCTGGCCGTCCTTGGCAGGTGAATAGTACAGTATGAATGCTAGGACTAACAGTTCTCACAATACTCATACCATCAAAGGAAGAAGATCTGGATATAAAAGGCAGAGACTTGCCCACTCTATAGCTTTTCATTCTACATATCTATTCAAGACATCATTGAGATCCCATCAAAGCCAATCCTACTATTACATTGCACTCCCCAGCCGCGATTTCCCAACAATGAAGTCCTTCGCCATCACCTCGCTGCTCTTCCTCGGAAGCTTCCTTTCCGGCGCTCTGTCGCTTCCCCAAGATATCGCCGGTGTTGATGCGGTTATTGACAGCACAGCGGCTGCTGCCATTACTTGTCTCTCCGGCCTCGACCACACGCTGGGCGACAGTTGCCACAACAACGCCGGCTCGTTCGCCTGCTCGGGCGCTGACAGGTCCCACGTTGTACGTACTATTCCTTACGCACGGAAATGCTCCGCTTCATTGGCCCCTCACCTCCGCGCCTACACCAGTGTCACTGCCTACTTTTATGTGTACTAAGAATCTTGCAGCAACTCTGTGGGAGCAATGCCATTTGGGGTGTCTATGTCACTTGCCCAACTGGTACTGGGTGCCACAACTGTGCCTGCGCTCCGGGATACTAAGGGCAGAATCGATGGGTGTTCGTGCAAGGTGTCGGTGGCTCGTCAATTCGAGGTACCTGGGACGAGGAGCTCTCAATCTGCAACTTGAGGTGGTGGCCGCAGGAGTGACTGTGCGAACACTTTAGAAAGCAGAAGTCGTGACTCAAGAGGGGAACATGCTCGGACCCGAAGTTGCTGCTGTAGAAAATATCAACTGATCGCAAAAGTTGCAATTGTGAAGATAACCTTGTATTCAATGATCATGTAACATGCACGAAATAATTACCCTGCGCGGCTTCCCGAGGTTAGCGGCATCCATGGATTGTATCGAAATGTTCCTCTCGAGCCTCTACTATCTACCTAGGTTTCTATACAATATCTACTTCACCAATATCCCCCCGCTCCAGAGCCTATATATTAAGTCTGTTTAAGGAACTTATAATTTTCTTCTTCTAAAAACGAGAGGGTTTAGGATATGCATTGTAGGTATGTTATAGCCTAGGTATAAATCGGATATAGAATACTTATAAGAGTACTAGAAACAATATAATCAGGTAATCCCGGGGCTCTAAGTTATCTAGGGTACTAGCAAAATTAGTGATAATGGCGGACTATCATGAGCGGGACGGATCTACTGCTGTGGCCATACTATATCATACATGCTTCCCCCTGTCACTGTTATTAGTTGAGAAATTATTTTCTTGGCTTGACTCTATCTAGCCGGTTCGAATCCATGGAAAGAATACTTGAGACTAAGGATAACAAGTAAGGGTTGGGGGTCTTAGGATATGATTTACTCCAGACGTTTGCAGCCCCAGTCAGCTTAGTAGTCCACGGGTTTGCACGGCGGTCAAGAATCTCATGTAAAATACCAAGTCCATCCAGTATCCCTACTAGGGATTTACACAATAATGTAGTGCTCAAAATCCCCTTCATCCCATTTTGCAACAAGGAATCGGACGCGTCGTATTTGAGCTCCTCCCGCCCATACAGTGCTATGACCGACATGAGCCCAGGAGGCACACGACCCACTGCGCCGTCAGGCATTGACACCGGCAGGAGGTAAAAGGGGTGCTTCACAGCCGCTCAGGGCCGCAGGCACTCAGTCCCCTCGTCTTGCTTTCGTGCGCCTATTGATTCGAGATCAAGACCGTACCTACATCACAGCAGCCGTCGCATTCTCTCAGAGGGCGCGGACGTCGGCCCCAACTTTCTGCTACGCGAGCTTGACAAACATTAATCCTCGCGGTACCGCTTTCTCCAAAGCTGCTAGCCCGTGAATCACCATTGATGCTCGTCGTCTCTCGCCTCAAGGAAGTGGTCACTGGTACAAATTTTCCAAACCCTCGATTTCAGACTCTTTCGTCCAGCCGCCAAAGCCCTGGAGGTCGTCGGCCCACGGTGTGTCGGCCAGCGGTAGCCTCGTTGTCGGCCAGTCAGACACCACCTCTTCGAAGCTGACGTCCCCGGTTCGGGCGACACGACCGAGGAATCCGTGGTGGTGTCTAAGCTGCCCGCGGAAACTGGGATCTAGGATGCCCTTCTCATATAGAGGGGGCAGCGGCTTGTGCCCCGAGACGACCGTTCCAACACCGAAGCCCCCGTGTGATGAGGTTCTGCCCCCACAAACAACACGTTCGACAGGTCTACATCGTTTACAAAATTCAATGCGACGAGCGGAAGTCGGGTACCCACAAGGATCGGTGTATATGCCCTTGGTAGTCATCTATATGTGTCCTGGGTAGTCCATGAACAGCAAGGTATTTCCACGGCCGAGTACACATGTATGACCACACTCCCCGTGGCCTTGACGATACACCTAGCATAGCCCCCACAGACCCGTAGCAACGGTCTCTAAAGGCCGGACACCAGCCCTGGTGGTATCGCCCGCTTCACTGCCGTCGCACAGGCCGATCATGCTGTATAAGTACTTAGCCATGTGAGCGTGTAACTACAAAGGCGTGCTTCTCCCGTTCGTAGCAAGGCCTCGCCGAGCGCCCGCCCAGACGCGAACCCACCGGTCATCAGCCTCTCCTTCGATCTCGGCTGGGAACCTAGCCCTGTGCATGGACCCCGGCCTGCTGGACATCACAGCCCCGAGGGCAGCGAGGTGGTACGCCCCAGGCCGTGACAGCCTGGACAGCTGCATATCTGCAATGACCGGGCACGGGCGGGCGAAGCGTTCAAGGCCGAACATACATACAGCCACCTGCTACTGATGGGCACCGGCTCTGGTGACGCCACCTCCTGGACCGCCCAAGCCAGGGTCGTGTGGCTAGCTGGCTGGCACCACTGGTCCAGAAAGGCGGCAGTACGGGCACAAGAATGCTCCCTAGCAGTCTTCTACATCTCAAAATCATCCTCATTCTTCAAGTCAA